CATCAGATGCAGTTTAACAAAGCCTCATGTTACTCATCAATCTTTAATTGCTACATAGGTTCTTTCTTGTTTAGGTTAAGCAAGTTTGAATGATTGTATAAGGTGAAACATGCAGTGTTATATATACATTAGTGGATCAACATCAAATACAACAGGTATAAATAGATAGCTAACTGATATTAAACTTTGGTCATAATGTAAAGCAAAATTTAACTGAGTACTTCTCACATAGTTACCACTTGTTTCTTTACAGAAACTATATATTTTACACAAAAATGTGTATTTACAGAAGTCTTTAAATTATAGAAAAATCTATTACAAAGTTAATTTGGTAAGTTACTCCTTCAGAAAGTTATGAGATAATTTTCAATCCAATTATGTAAATTTACACAATTCAAGTAGGCCTAATGCCAGTGTAGAAACATAAGTGTTGTCGTTTGAAAAAAGGACATTCGATAGATTTCTGATTTCTATGACTCAAAATAATTCAGTTTAAAAACCAAAACTTATAATAACAATATATACTCACAATTTGGAAGTGGTCCTCTGTGATATCATTTGCAAGGTAAAACCATAATAATAAAGAAGTCCTAAGTTTTCTGGGAGCTTGGCTATGGTTTTATGCATCACCTTAAATAAGAAAATGAAAGCAAAAAAAAAAAAAAAAAAGACTTGAAAAGATTTGTTAATTTTCCCAGTGCAAGTATTTTTGAGAACAAAAGGTTGCTGGATACATAAATCAGAAATAATCAATTATAAAGTTCATAAGTTAAATATTTTCTTATATCATTTCACCTTTCCATAATTAGTTTAGAATATAGAAAATATATTCAGATAATTTTTAATTTTTGTGCAGGTGTTCTGCACATTGTGACACCCTTGTACATGAATTGATGGAAAGTTGTAAACATGTGCTAATTCTTTCACTTTGACAAGTAACATATGTAAAAGACTATTCCACAGAAGCAAATTTGATAATGTATCTGTGTCCATTTAATGAGGTGTGAGGAAACCATCTGAAGGGATGACACAGATACTTACACAAAATGGTACGAGTTCATGGTTCTCTTCCTAGAATATGTTATATCGAACAATAGTTGACCTAAAGTAATCTGAAAATTGTCAGATACTGCACTATAACCCTCCCTTTAATCCTACCACAGTAGCTAATGTGGAATTATACTAAAAGAAAGAAACCACTTAGTGTTAAGCATAAAAATTACTGTGAATAAAGATTTGTTATACTTGTTCACTTGTGCTTGTTTGTTTTTCATTTGTTGTCCATGTTTAATTTATTCTCAATGTAACACTTCCCGAATTTACATTTCTGTTGACACTTTTGGCTATATTTGGATATCAACGTATCTGAATACCACACTTTTACAAGTTCAAGTTAAAATAGCTGTATAAACTAAATTATAAAACATTATTATAGAAAATATTCAGGTTTGATGATCTAGGGATATCTAATGTAGCAAGGAATGGAAAGATGTTGAAAAGATGGATGAAGTATAAAAACAAAGTGATGAATGGCTAAGAGAGACATGTAGGAAGTTGTCCAACACATCAACCATGGTCAACCACAGACTAGGTGAAAAAGACCATAGACAGGGTCAGGGGGAGGAAAAAGAAAATGGGAAGAGAAGAGGAATGAAGAAAAGGATGAAAATGGTTAAACTAAAAGTGACTACTGGCAGAAAAGGATACCAATCGAAATAGAAAAGAAAGGTACCCACAAAATCCTATGTGTAAGAGTCATTGACAAAAAGAGTGAGAAAATAGAGTTCTGGTAGAAGGAAGACAAGGAAGGTCTGGATTCCAGAACAGAAAAGTGAGAAGGAGACAGACCAAGATGGGAAATAGGCATAAAGGGCAAGGTCTAGAAAAAGGAAAAAAAAAACAACTGGGAAGATAATGAGGACAGAAGTCATATAATATCAGACCAGGTCACCAGGGGGAAGGAACACCACTGAAGAAATGTGGGTAAAGAAAGGAAGCCTGATGAAATAAGTACAGTAAAGAGGAACATAACCCAACCTTAATGAATCCCAACAGAAGGAGAACAAAGTATTGAGGAATAGAGCAGAAGTAAAAGAGGTCAAATAGACAAAGGAAAAAATGTCTTCAGAAGCTATCAAAAGCATTAAGATATGCTTCAGATAAAATATGGAGTTAGGAGAGTAAATACAGATGGGTAGAGAAAAAAAGACAAAAACTGGAAACTATAAAGTGAAATAGAAGGTAAAGGGATCAATCCCCAAGTTGGCCAGATGGATATCGTTGACAGAAAAGCATGAAAAAGAAGGGGGAAAAAAGTCTGTAAATCAGGACAAAAGGTGTCACAAATGTGAGGGTGATGAAACATTTATCATGAGAAAGAATCTTTTTAAATAAAAAAAAAACAAGCATGACACCTAATAACATGCAAGCAATAAAGAAGAGAAAAAATAAACCCAAGATTCGTAGATCAGAAAGTGATAAAATGGAAAATAATAATGAAAACATCTATAAAAGATGAAATGGAACATAACTGAGAATGAAATCCAGAAAGATATTGAAAGGGTGTAATTTCACAAATGGTAAAATACTATGCAAAGCAAATCAGCTGAAGGTCATTGTCCAATAGATAATTTCCAACTGAGAAGAAATTCACCTGATGAGACAGGAATAGGAGGCACATTAGTGTGGCAATCCACAACACGTCGAACAATGTCTGCAACAACCCTGGCAGTTAACAAGCCTCCAAAGATCATAGCAGAAGTAAAGCTGAAGTGTGAAAAATGTTCCACACTCAGAATCAAGCATAAGTGTGAACAATGTCCCACTCTCAGAACCAAGCATAAATCACCATCATTGAGAATTCATAATAAAACATTAAAGCTTTTGAAATAAAAGCTAAAGGAAAAAAAAAAATCAACATTTTGTTAACATTGCAAGTCTCGTTAAATTGAACAAAAAATTAGAAATCTAAACATCTGTACAATACAAAGCCAAAGAGATGAATGAAGATTCACAAGTGCAAATGCTGAGGGGGAGTTAATGAAGGTGTGTAGCCCTCCTATTGGTGGAGAATGTTTGTCACATAATGCATTATCATGCAGTGGCGCAATTCACATAAAATCACAAGAAATTAGGTGGGAGTTGCCTCATTGCTAGTGGCATGCAAATTTCTTTGGTAGATACAGAGGAAGATAACTAAACTGTGTCTGGAGGTGAGTTATCATCCTGGAATTTTACTTTTTCTTTAGTTTTTACTAAGGAAGATTTAAGCAATTCCTTAACTTAAACAGTTGCTAGATGAAAACAATCTTGAACAAAATGATCACATTACTTATGAGCACGTTAAGAAAAAATGGGAGAGTTTAAAGATAATATTTACCCATTGAAGAGGTTAAGAATTGTGTATGTAAGCCACTTGTTTTTATATTTTATATATACAAGTCCTTGAATAGTGTGCAGGTGTCAGAAGACTGAAGTTGACTAATGTTACTTGTCTTTCCAAAGGAGATAACAATAACTTTTCCAGTAACTATAGACCCATTAGTCATACTTCAGAGGTGGGAAAAGATTTCGAAAGACTGGCAAAGGATTCTTTGCAAAGTCATTTAATGAAGTTTAAAATTTTGTTGGATAGTCAACAGGGTTTCACTGGGAGAAAATCTTGCATCTCTAATCTTTTGACATTCTTTTAAGAAGATACTGCTTATGTAAATAAGGGTACAAATGTTGATTTGGTGTATCTTAATTTTCAGAAAACATTAAACGAGGTGCTACATAAAGGCTTGTCAAAAAAGTTATTTCTGTAGATGTGGGGGATAGGTTTGCTCATTGGATAGAAAACTGGGTGGATGAAAAAAAAAAGCAGAGGGCTGCTATAATGGATTTCAGTCAAACTTGGTTAATGTTACAAGTGTGGTACCTCAGGGGTCAGTGTTAGAACCTTTGTTCTTACTGATTTACATCAATGACACAGATGAAAGAATGGTCAATACATTATTTAAATGTGCTGATGAAATTAAAGTTTTGGGCATTGTTGGCTGTGAGGAGGAGGATACTGCCTTAAACAGGATTTGGATTATTTCATGAATTGAGCAAATAAACAGCAGATGGCTTTTAAACATAATAATTGCAAGGTAATGCATGTGGGATATCATAATTTGAACTATGAGTAGAATTTTGATGGGAATAACCTTGACAATGTTATGAAATCAAAAGATCTTGGAGTTTTGACTGATCAGTTTCTTAAATCATCCAAGCAACAGATAGTGGTAGTGCAAATAGGATTTTAGATTGTATCTACAGAAATATTGAATACAAGTCTAAGAATATTATAATGTCATTGTATAGGTCACTGGTTAGGCCATATGTATAGTACTGTGTTCAGTCTTGGGTTATTTATCTCAAAAAAAGACATTGAATTATTAGAAAGAATTCAGAGGAGGACTACTAGAATGACACCTGAGATGGAAAGGTTATCATATGAGGATAGATCAAAGGTCTCTGAACTTTTTATGTTTATTCATGTTTAATGGTGAGAATGGTAAGATTAGAGGACATAAATATAAATTTCAGCAGGGAAGAAACATCTTCAGGTAATACAGCTTTATTTTTCTAACGGAGTGGTTGTTTTCTGGAATGGGTTGCCTTTGGATGTGGTGGATACAGTTGATTTATAGGAGTTTATGGGGGCTTGATAAATATCTGAATGACAAGGCTGGATTTGAGGTTTGATTTTTTCAATTAAGGATTTAGCTTAATATAGTGAATAGGACACTGTATCTTATATATGTTAACTCAATGAAACCACATATGTGTATGAATTTCCTACTGTCTAAAAACTTCCAAATAAATTAATCAGAGGAATTATTCATCTCAGGAAATGTGAAAAACAAATCCTGACCAATTCAAGGCAAAAGGCCATGGAATTACATATATTCGTGTTTACATGATGAACAATGCTTATCTTTACATAATAACAAGAATCCATTCATTTTGTGCAAACAACTAATAGTAAGTGGGAATTTCCTACAGCAACTCATTGAAATACATCTTTCTTAATACCAAAAATTAGTATTAAGTTAAATAATTTTTAACTACCTTTATTTGGATTTTTTATACTTATTCAGCAAAATTCTCAGTGATAAATTTCAAATTTAAAAACCTGAGATGTTTTGTTTGCAACTGGCAACCAATATTTGCCTCTGAAAAATCCAAAAGGAATCTGCTTTAAATAATTCTGTATATTTAAATCAAGCTGAAATTCAGCAGTTGTCTAAATCACAAAAAATTTAAAGCACTTGCAACATTATAATTTTCATATAAGAGTTTTTGTTTTATTTTACATCATATCTCAATGACAACCAACATCATTTTTTATAATACAGACTATATTATATTGATAAATGCTTTGAGATATTCTGCATTTCACACAAAACCAGGACAAGTTTTATTTTAATGTTAAAAGAAAACCTCCAACTGCCATAAACAATTACTATACTGCCATCATAAATACAAAGCATGCAAAACAGAAACAAAGTTATAAGAAACCTATATTTCACATACTACAGAATATGTAGACTTCATGTAAATATCTTAAATTGCATCAGGAACTTAAAGACTATATATACATA